AACAACAATATCAGATATACAAATTTAATATTTTATACTAATAGCTTAGTTAATAATATTACTAAGAACAATGTACTATAAAAATATGCTACAGTGCAGGAATCCTTAAACCAACAACTTTTTTTAAAGGTGACCAAATTTAATAACAAATACTAAATTTTGATTGGCTAATATCTTAAAATTTTGTTATATTTTTTTTAAATTTTATTATATTTTTAAAATTTTGTTATGTTTTTTATATATGTACGGCCAAATTTTGGTTTTATTAGTAACTTTAAAAGGAAATAACATTATAAAATTTTGCTATATTAAAAAACAAACTCTATGGATTTGTTCTGCTTGTTTGTTTGTATATTTCTATAGAAAGATTTTTCTTTTAATTACATTTTTTATTTTTTTTATAAAAGTTTAAAGAATTATTAGTTTTTGGTTGCTGATTTAAAGATTCCTGCACTGTAGATACAAATAATTAATAATACTATAATACAAATATACTCTGCTACAATACAACTCTGGCTCTTATTATGCAAAACAAAACTTATACCAGTACTTGTCTTTGATACAGCAAGATAACAATATATATATTATTAATAATTAAAGCTTATACTATATTTATCTACTAACAAACAATATTTCTATAGCTACTAGTAGTCAATGACTTCACTATAACGAGAACGACTTGTAGTAAACTTTAAAATGAGATTATTGGTAAGATAATTTAAAATACTCTAAATTTAAAATCTTAGTAATAAATAAAGTTGTTTAACACACAAGATTTAACACATAAAAACAAATTAGAATAATATTTTTTTGCCTTCTGATTTTTTTTAAAACAATTTTGAACTAATAATTTTGATAAAAATTTAAAATTTACATACACGTATAATATGAACCAAATTTTTCTTAAAAGCTTTATTTTCAACTTATTTTTATTTCTGTGAAAATATTCTTTGAGAAACCTTTATGATGAGATTTTTTCAAAAAAAAAAAAAAAAGGAAAGAAAAAAGAAAAAATACGCTACGATATTTTGGAACCTTAATTATTTAAATATTTCCAATTAAAGATCAAATTAATGATATTAGCTAGTATATTATTACAATTATTATTACAAAAACTAACTAGTGGTTGTAATCAATACTTCTATGTTCTATTCACATAATATTTTTTAGAAACAATTTTTTTTCATTATAACAAAGTCAACCTAATAGTCAAACTCAAAAAAATATCAATTGTTCAAAATCCGAAATACCTAATGAATAAAAAAGAAAAACAATTATACAAGACAAATAAAGAAAAAACCACCTTATCGCTAAAATTTTCAACAAACTTTTATAAACGTTCAAAGTTTAAAAGGAAAATATATACATACAGTCTTTTAATAAGTTTAACTCTGTACTGTACAATTCCCATCTATATATGAATCGGTAAAGCACAAACTTTACACGCTTTACATTAAATCCTTTTCTTGTGTTTTTAAAATTAAGCTTGTGCAGAATATGTATACGTGTTATATGTATCCTGCCTAGCTGCAGACGCCCTATTTTTACTCCTCCTATAAGCTCGAACCACAAGCGCAGTTAATCCAGCATATAATAATGTAGATCCACAAACTGCTATTACAATAATTGCACCAATGCCATTAGATGAACCGTTGGATGAATTATTTAAATTCTCATCTTGGGAGTCTGCCACCGAATTATCTAAAGAAAGAGATGGATTGTAAGAATGTTCATAATACAAATTAACACCCTGTTAATTAATTACACTAACCTTCTAGAGCAATAGAGCTAGGATCTATTAAATTTCTAAATAGTGATTTATTATTCTTATAAAATGGGCTGGTTGTATTTCCCAAAACATTTTCAATATCATTAGATTGTGTTTTTGGAACTTTCATGTACACAAACCCAATATCATCATTCTGTGAACGGAATAATTGCGTTACAATTATTTTATCTGATGATATTTTAACATTGTTTTGTTTGGAAATGGCATTCGTTATCTCTTTCGGAAGCACATTGGCAAATAATGCAGGAATGTCGGAATCGTTGCAAATTCTGCTCCAAGGCAGTGCGGGTGTTAATTTTACTTTCATACCAACGAAATTCGCTTTTTAAATCAAGAAAATATTGATCAGTATTTTTTTTAAAATTAAAATAGTATTTTAAAATTAATAAACATTAATTATTTACGTGATGAGGCATCGGTGGAATCGAGTGAACCTTGAACAAAGATTGCTGAGGGTAAGTTTTCCAATGAAACTGTTGCTGTTGGTGTTGCTAAGGGAAGCGAGCCAGTTATTGCAGGGATATAAGGCTTATCTTTAGTTTTAGAAACTCTAGGTGGAGGTGGGTTGTCATTTTTTGGAGTTTTAGAATGAGGCGGTTTAGGTGGTTTAGTACGCGTAACGAATGTACTCGTAAGTGATGGTTTGTAGGGATGATTCAATGTTGAGCTTGTAATGTGAATATTCTTTGATATTGAGTTAGTTGTAAGTGAAGTAGTTGTTTCAGGTAAAGTAGTTAAACATGTCCCTGATGATGTTAAAGTTATCGCAGTTGATGT